CCCAGGCTGTGGAGAAGTGTTATAGATAAAGACCCTAGTTCCATTCCCCACCTGGCCTTGCTGGGTGCCTCAGGGCAATACATACTCCTGGTCTGGGCTTCTTTCCAGATCCTAGGTTCTCTGGTACTGTGATGTACCAGATCTCACAGGCTCTGACCGGATTGGAGCAGGGAATGGGGGTGGCGGGTAGGCTCCAGTAGGGGGCTCATACTCCCCCTGACCCAGGCCCCTTCCAGAGGCACAGAGCCAGATCAAAGGGACCCAGCCCTGAAGACTGGGAGGAGAGTTTGAAAAGAATGTAAACATGAGGATATTTTTAAACTTTTTCCAGCCTCAACGGTAGAGCTCTTGAAGCAAGAGGCCCAGGGGTTAGGCTGGCCCTTACCCCTTAAGGAAAAAAAAAACAATCTTGGGACCCCCAAAGGCTTCCCAATCCCACCCACCTATATCTAACCCAGGACTCCAGATTGGGCCTCAAGGCAGAAGTTCTTCCTCTGGTATGGAATGACATGTTTTCCTCAGAAAGGTGGAAGGATCCTGAGGACACAGTGATGGTGGGGACTACCTGGCAGAACAAGTGTTGGGGGACCCCTTGGCAGCCCTGTCACACTATGAATCATGTGCACACGCACATGCATGTGCCTGTGTGTGTGCAAGCATATGCGCCCATCTCATCTGTGCAGTGTCAGAGTGTCACGATGTGTGTGAATGTGCAAAGAGTGCCTCAGACCAGTTCCTTTCCTTTCCTAGCATCCCTGATCTTCTCCTCAGGTCCTGGGGTAGATGGGGGACATGGGAGTCCAGAGGCCAGCTGAAGGGTCAAGGGGAAGAGCCACATGAGGAGGGAAATGAGGACAGCAAGGGCATAGGAGTGGTAGAAGGGAAGTGGGGTTGCATCTCCGTCTCTATGGTGAGTCAGCCTGTGAGAGTTGCAGGGGCTACTAACATAGGGACTAGAGACTCAGCTCCCATGATTATTTCCAGGTGTCATAGTGACTCAGGAACATCGAGACAAAGCTCCTTAGATCTCCCCCATTCTAGCGTCACAGTGATGCTCACCATGGGTTCCATGACAACAGCCTCTTCCTTCAGAGGGACATGGCTACTCTCACATACTTGTAGGAGTATCTCAGCCTTGTGCAGGGAAATCAGCACAACTTTCCCCCTTCTACCTGTGATCACTGGGCCATTAACACATAGGACATAGGGACCACCCCATCCATATCCCCACTGACCACAGTCAGTGTTCTCAGGGGTATCCAGCTGTCAGGCCAGGCCAGGGTTATCAGGACAGTGAGGGGCTCTATCCCTGGGAGAGGCCTCAGCTGGCTGCTTCTTGCTTCAGGGGGTGGTTGTGGTGCCTAGACGGGGACAGCATCAACTCCAGGTCCCATAGCCTCTCCATGGAAGGCAAATCTGGCCAGATCTCTTCCCAGAGACACCAGAGGCAACACTGAGTTTGCTCTGTGCCATTCCATGTGCTAGGATTTGGTGCCAAGGAGGAAAAGAAGCCAGGGGGGGGTTGGCACCAGTAGGGAGGAGAATCCTGAGGCTTGCCCTCCTTCATCTGAGAGCCATGTCTGTCTTCTTGAGGATGTTGCTGTGTTGTCTCAAGTTGTGATGGCCTTGTGTGTGCCTGTTCGCCATGGCTGTTGCTATTCTTACCCACTGCGCCGTGGCAATAGGGTCAGAGATAGTGGCAGGATGGGAGAGAGTCACGAGCACTGGCCCCTTATCTGACACATTCTCTGGAAATTTGGCAACAGCTGCCAGCCTCTGGGGCTCAGACAGAGCCAGCATGAAGTGGTCAACCAGTGAGGTGGGGGCTGGGCTCACTGTTCATGGGGCCCTACTGTTTCCTACAGCCATGCCAGATGGGTGACATGGGGGCTCCTAGTGGGGCTTCTTCCCACATCCTCCATTTCTCCTACCCACGCCAACACAGACCACCATTGTTCCCATCTCTTAGCCTTTGACTGTCCAAGGGCAATGTGTTTGTTGGCTTACTCAGTGAAGGCTGCCTCCTGGAAAGAGCTCCAGACGGGGGACCAAAGAAGCCTAGTCTGGCCATGGTCCTGCCCACTCCTAGATAAATGACCTCAGGTAATTCCCTTCCCTTCCCTTCCCTGAGCTTCAGTTGCCTCATCCCTGTCCCATGCTGTCATAGGGAAAAAGGTCCAAGGGCCAAGAAGATGAGTTAAGGGCTGCAACTTGTATGTGTGTATGTGCACGTGTATGCATGCACACACTCAGGGTTGGAGTCTAGGGTCCCCACCTTGGAAACTCCCAGCTCATGGATTTTCCATTGGCACGTCGGCACCCTCTCCCCCAAAATAGGCCCTATGAGCCGTGTGCGACAGAGCCCAGATGAGGGGCCTTTTTTTAGCTGCCCTTTGATTGTCAGCTCTTGAGCAGCTGCTATTTCAAGCCCCAACGCCTAGAGGAGTTGGACCAAGTGGGGCCCAGCTCAGCTCCGTGGGCCTGGCTGGCTCCCCAAAGGCATCCCCAAGAGACCAGCCCTGCCCTCGCATGCCCAGCACTGCTGGCAGGGACAGCACAACATCTCTGTGTATGGGGCTTAAGGGTTCATTTATTCCCCTTCAGGGAAGCTGCAGAACTGGTTTAAACCAGCCACAATTCAGGGGTTCATCCTATGGGCCAAAGCCCATCCTCTCACCCAGAAAAGAGTAGATTGTAGGATCAACTGAGAAAAGACAAACGAAGCTCTGATTTGAGGACAGAAACTGGCACATAATGGGCCCTCGAAAAATATACTACACTGGCTATAAGTGTGGCTCAGTGGCTCAGCATTTGTCTAGTGTTCTTGAGGCCTTGGGTTTGAGCCCTAACCTGAAAATAAAAACAAAAATTCAACTATTATTATTAATTACAGCCATAGTCATTCTTGGTTTTGTTGTTTTAGGAACTTTTTAAAAATCAGATTTGCTTCTAGCCTTGTTACTGAGCATGTCTCTTATGCGGTTGGTTCCCTGCCCTCTTTCCCCAACACATACATACCTGGTTTCAGCAGTTAGACGCTCAATGTTAGCTGGGGTGCTTTGCATCTTGGGCTATACCCCCAGATAACCTTTGGGATCCATGATCTACAGATGGCCTTTGGAATCCATAACACCTTTCAGAATACATATGGTTATGCCCATCATTTTTGCCATCTCCTCAAATGCCATCAGCCACTATTCCACAGGATTTTAAGACCCCAGATTCCAAAAGTGAAGTTCTAAATGTTAAATCCTGAAATGGCCCCTGCACCTGGATTTTAGAACTCTTACCTGAACTTGAAGAAACGAGCTTATTGCACAGCAAATATGAAAAAGAATTTTCTGGCTGGTACATAAGACTTGATGAGTCATCAGAACAAATGAAGACAGTCTCTGCTTCCTGGCCATAGTGTGCATGTGTGTGGAGGTGTGGGCTACCAGGAAGAGGGATGGGACAGCAAGAACCAGATTCCAGGAGAAGGGAAGAAAGGCAATGTATCTAAGCCAAGGCTTCCTCAGCACAGTCAGGGTCATTTCCCAGCAGGGCAGCAAAGTCAGTTGGCGTTGCAGGGGGTCACATGTTCCACCATTGCCCCAAGTGGTTACTGAACAAGGTGAGACTTCCTTGTTACCCGAAGGACAAAAATAGTTCCCAGGTGATGGCTTGCAATGCATGCCCAGAACTGCCTGGGTTATTCTGAGAGTGACAGGAACAGGGCCAGGCCAGGCCTCAGTCAGGTGGGACTGAGCTGGAAGTGGCATCCTCAGCCTGCAGGCTCCCTGCCCTGGATGCGGTTGGAGGATTAGAACCATGTGCTGCCTAATCCTTGATGGGTGGGGTTCCAATCCTGACTCTGCTACATCATCTTGAGCAAACCATTTGACATCTGAGAGTCAGCTTCCTTCGCAGGCAATAGAGAAAATTAGATGGAGTGGACAATGGTGCTCAATAGATGTGTGAATCACCACTTTAGCTATCTCAGAGCCCAAACCAAGATGTCCAGAGAAGGCAAAGGCCTCAGCTAAGGTGCTCAGGTATAAAAAAGCCCCTTCCTCTCTAATCATGAGGCAGCCCAGTCAGCACAAAAGCACATTTCTGAAGAGTTTGTGGGGATTTTCCAGGAATGGTGGCTTCCAACTGGAGAATTCCACACATAGTTCTGTTGCCTGGGGCCCAGGCTACAACAGGATGCTCCTGCTCACTCCAGTTCTACCCAGTTTCTGGCTCCCCACACACCATACTTACATAGTCTTTTGTGTGCTGTGAGGTCCGAAGCATCTGAGGCTCCTGGTTCCCTTGAGGCCTGGCATAGAACAGTGTCATGCATGCAGTCAATCTTCTCCTGATCCCTTACCCCTTCTAGGGACCTGCTCTTTTCCTTATCTAACACATTTTAGAGTTTTTCCTGGATCCAGCCCCTGGCCTCAGATGAATTCACATGAACAAACTGGTATGATAAAACAGGTATGGTGGCACACACCTATAATCCCAGAACTCAAGAGGCTGAGGCAAAAGGATTGTTGAGAGTTTGAGACCAGCCTGGGCTACAAAGTGAGCTCAAGGCCAGCCTGAGCTGCATAAGGAGACCCTATCTCAAAAATACAAAAAAAAAGCTGGTATCATAGATACTGACTTGGGACAAATGACACCTGACTCGGGATACAGTTGACAAAGGCAGCTAAAGAAGGGGAGGGGAGCTGTTAGGGACAAAAGCCTAGGCAAAGGCTCAGAAATGTGGCTGAGTTCAGGGACTGGGACACACTGCATTTTCCTCTGAGGTAGGGGAGGCCCAGTTTGAGATAGCCTGAGGGATATTGAGCTGGGGGCACAAGATGGGGGGGGATCAAGAACCAAATTGCAATAGAACCTAATCCTTTCTTTGCCCAGATCTCTTCCCTCTACAACTAAGCCCAGCAGGGTTTTGGCCAGACCTCTCGGGGAGGAACAGCTGGCTGATTGGACCCCAAGACACACCAGGTTTTAGAGGTACCACCAGCAAGCCCAGCTCTGCTCTTCACAGGGTGGCTGTCCTCCGGGCTATTCCTGCACCTAGACCAGTCCCTGGGGAGTGACAGGACACCCAGACTGTTGGGAGGAAAGATACTGTCGAGTCCCAGCTGGGCCCTGCGATGCCCCAATTCCACTCTGCCACTCTATCTCAAAACTTCAGTTCTGTTCTGCACTCTATCGAGCCAGGCCATCATCTCTATGCTGAGGAGGGCATATGACCCCCTCCTCCCTGAGACTGGCACCTAAGTTTATGAGCCAGTGCAGAAGTCTCTGAGAACCATATGGGTGGAAAAAGTTACCCGGTTCTAAATCAGCCAGCTTTTGGGTGATCTCATCCCCTTCCCAAGATAGTTGTGCTCCCCTCCTCCACCTACCAACTGACTGGGCTAATGGGGTAAGTCACGAGGGAACTGGGGGAGGAGTGTGTGTGAGGGCTAGGGGAGGGATTGCAACTTGGGGGGCACACTGCACATTCTGTTGATCACCCCTACTTACAATATTTACAAATAACAGTTTCCTGTCAAATTATAATGGTCTGCCACTATTCCGTTTTCACAATTACTTTTAAAGTCTGCCAAGATGAATGTACCAGGATCTCTGTGTCCGGTCCTAGAGGAGGACATGTCAACCACATAGTTTCTCTTTTTTACAAACACCAGTGCCATAACCATTTTTGTTCAAATCCTGGTGTAGTTGTCAGGCCTATCCTCCTTCCCTGTCTCTCCCTCTGAGATAAATTCTCACAGGTATTGGGTGGGAAGGCAGGCCTCACTGTGCCTCTGAGAAGTTCTGGGGATGCAAGGCAGAGGTGCCAGGACAGGGAGAGGGACTGCAGACCAGTGAAGGGATCGCCTGACCCCTCCTGCCTGCTGGAGGCAGGCGCCCCATAAGTTCTGCATGCCCTTGGCTTCCCAACCAGAACCAAATGCCAGACTGACCAGGAACACAGAGAAATAGTATACACAGGGTCTCCCCTGACCAGTGCTGAAGTTGTGTCCACAAAGTCACCATCCTAGGCTTAGGCTGAGTACTCAGCCACAAGATGGGACTCCTCTGATTCTATGTAATTCATATCTTACCAAGGGCTCCCCCCCAATTTTTTCTACAATGCTCTGTAGAGTAACAACTCACTCCTTCCTAAATCCTGGCAGGCCTTTGGGAGGGGGTGGAGCATGCCCTTCTTATCAGACGGATAAATACTCAACAGATTTGCCGGAGTGCTAAGCAGAAGCTTTGAAGTCAGTCCCTAGGATTTAAAACTTAACCGCTGTGCTTACCAGTTTTGTGACACAGGCACAGCATTTTACCTGTCCAGGGTCAGTTTCTTCATCTGTAGAGTGGGTTAGTAATACTTACTTAGAGGGTTGTATGAGCACTAAATGATACCTGTGAAGTGTACAGCATAGCACCTGGCCAGAGTATATGCTCATAAACATGGCCTAGTTCATTACCTCAATTATCACAAGTCTCTCTGTGTCCCTTCTGTGGCTGAAAGCAGACCAGGGAGGCTGCCACAGAATGGAAAAAGTGGGAGGTGGGATGGACATGGTCAGCTCACACACTTGGCCCTGCACATTAGCAAGGAACTGAGGTTTTTTTTTTTTTTTTAATTCTTTGGAAGTGGTAGAGGGTAGTGGGGGTGGGGGCGGGGCCAGGGATGAAGACTTTTTTTTGGCTTTTGGTTTTGTTTTGGGTTAGTTTGGTTTTTGTTTGGGGGGGTTGTTTGTTTTGGGGGGGGATTTTAGAGGTAGGGTTTTGCTATGTAGTTCATGCTAGACTCAACCTCACTAAATAATGCGGGCTGGCCTTAAACACATGCCAATACTCCTGCCTCAGCCTCCTGAGAACTGAGATCACAGGTGCGCACCACCACACCTGCATGAAACCTTTTTGTCAGTTAAAAAAGTTCCAGGTCTGAGAAGCTAAGGTAGGGAGATTACAAGTTCAAGCCTGCGCTGAGTAAGTTAGAGACTTAGCAGGATCTTATCTCAAATTTCTAAAAGAACAAAAACAAAACAAATAAAAACAGATGTAGGCTGGTCCGTCCGAGTGCAGTGGTGTTTATAACTAATTGATCACAACCAGTTACAGATTTCTTTGTTCCTTCTCCACTCCCACTGCTTCACTTGACTAGCCTAAAAAAAAATTAAAAAAAAAAAAACAGATGTAGCTCAGTACAAAAGCCTTGACTCAATCTCTAGAACTGGAAAAAAAGGGTGAGGGGCCTGAGGATGTAGCTCAGTGACAGAGTACATGTGTGTGCAGCCCAGGATTCAATTCCCATTTAAAAAAAAAAACATTAAATTTCCAAAACACACAAAAGTAGAATAGATATTATAACAAACCTACTTGGATCATCCTTTAGATTCACTAGGGCTAAGGATATGGCCAGTGGCACTGCACCTGCCTGGCAAGCACAAGACCATAAGTTTGATTCCTGGTACCAGAAAAAATAAAAATAGATTCACCAATTATCAATGTTTTGTCATACGTTAACTCTGTCAACCTCACTATCACTTTTGTTGTGTTCTCCTTGTTGCAAGCAAGTCCTTAAAGTCAACCCAGATTCAGATTCAAGAGGAGGAAAATCAGACCTCACTGCTTCATAGGAATAGTGTCAAAGAATTGGTCATGGGGGCCAAGGATTTAGCCCCCATAAGTTTGATCCCTGGTACCAACAACAACAAAAAAAATTGGTCACCATTCTTAAAACTACCAGTGGAAGATGATAAGCTGAATCCCAGGAGAGGTCAGGGGTCCAATTTTTGGAAGAAGTGAATCTTATATAAGAGGACTGAGAACTCTTAGTTTTCTCCTAATTTTTTTTTTAATTAGCAGGGTTGGGGATTGAACCTAGGGCTCCATACATGCTAGGCAAATCCTCTACCACTAAGCCACATTCCCACTCAGCCCCTAATATTTTAAATGTGTATGTTGAGTGCCTGACATGTTTCCTGGGACCCAGAGGAGAGTCAGACCAGGACTCTGGTGCTGACTGCACAGACAGACAGACAGACAAGAGACACTTGAGGAAATGTGAAGAGCACCCAGTGAAACGAGAACAAAAAAGGACATAGAAAGTCAGTCAGGAAGTTTTCCCAGGCCAAATGATGTTCAGCACATCAATAAAGAGTTGAATGGCAGGGTGGCAGGCATTCCTGTCAGAGGGACTAGCAAGGCCAAAGGCCTGGTACGGTCTAAGAACACGGAACTTTGTGTGACTGTTAGGTCCACTCACCTGGGAGGAAGTGGAGGATGTTGGGTAGGCAACCCTAGGAAGGCAAGTCTGAACTCTCCCCCATGGAAGGGTTCTGAGCAGAGCAGTAACTCAGTCAGATTTGACTGCATGATGGGGGCACTGACAGGGACACAACTGTCCTTTGGGGACAGGGAGGACAGAGGTGGTTGGCACTATTTTTTTTTTTTTTTTTTGTCTTTTTCCTTTTTTATCAGTACCGGGGATTGAACTCACGACTGCCTGCTTGCAAGGCAGGCGCTTATGCCGCTGAGCTAAACCTCCAGCTCCCAGTTGGCACTATTCTTAAAGCTACCATAGGAGGTGGGGAGGAGGGAATGGACCCCAGGACTGCTGGGAGGGTGGCTGTGGGACCTGGCTCAAGGAATACGATCTCAAGGATGGAGTCTGAGGTGTAGGTCAGCCCACAAGGGAAAGCAGTGATACTGAGGGAAACTGGTCAAGGTGCCTGACCACCTACAGCCAACCACTGGCTCTGGCACAACCTGAGTGGATCCTTCTCCCACTCCACTTTGTTCTCAGCCCCAAATGTGTGCAGAGTGCAGGGGGCTTCCTGTAGACTGCTGCAGTGTACAGCTCCAGGGAGACCCCACTCAGCCAAGGATAGGCCTCAAGACTTCCTCTTCTCAACAGCACACTCCTACCTAGCTAGCTGAGGCTGACAATAGCATGGCCTAATGGCGACACCTAGAGGCAGCCCTTCACACTGCCTCAGTCACTTTACCCCACAGCAAAGGGCTTAATGTCCTCATCATGCCACGCTCAGGATTTAGTGACCACAGCACCTGCTGGAACTTAGAAGATGCCCAGTTCCTCTATTCCTCCTTGACAAGGCCTACATCAAGGCCAGTAAACCCCCTGCCTCTCTAAGTGAACATGGACACATTCCGTCCCACAAGCCTAGGGACTTGATAATTTGTTGAATTCATGCCCCATTTTCCCACCTAATGCACTGCTTGTTCCAGTTATAGGGTCACCTGCTTCTCACAGAACCTATGTCCCTACCTCTACCTTGCCATCCAGGCTTATCTTGTGGCCAGAGAGTAAAGAATGGGCCCTTGCCACTCTCGGAGTGATTCTTTTTTAGTTAATTGTTTCTATCCATCCATATTCATGGTCTTCAGGCACTGAACCCTCTTTGCCAACTTTCTTCACTTCTCTTTTGTTGAAGGCCATTCTGCATAACTGTTGGGGGAAAATCATTTCACAATTAAATTGTGATCAGGGCTTGTTGGAGGCCCAGTGCCTTGCCATGACAGCTATGCGTGCAGGAACATAATTCCACGTATCTCCAGTCACAGTGGAGGCCTCAATGGTCTTGTGATACTGTGACACTCCAGGGCAAGATTGCATCAGCTGAGGACATCCTGGTTTCTTGAGAACCAAATAGTAGTAAAAATAGGGATTCACAGAGCTGAGGATTTAGCTCAGTGGTATAAGCACCTGCCTGGCAAGCTTGAGGTCATGAGTACCAAAAAGAGAGAGAGAGAGAGAGAGCCAGAATTCACTTTTTTTTTCTTGTCTTTTTCATTTTTATCGGTACCAGGGATTGAACTTGCAACTGCCTGCTTGAAGGTAGGCGCTTATGCCGCTGAGCTAAATCCCCAGCCCCCAGAATTCACTTTAAGGACAAATTCCTCCTTAACTTGCCATCTCTTCCCAATGTCTTCTTCAACATAAAGATCCTCATTAGCATAAGGTCACTTCTGCCCTCTAGGTCATCCTGCATGATTTCATCAGCATAAGATCTTATTGATATAAGATCACAGCTGTCCTCTAGGACCAATTATTGTAGACACTCAATAAACAGTGGCTATCTCAGTGTCTTTGTCTCTGCCCATCGTGAGGCATTGACCGCCCAACCTTTTTGTCATTCATTACTAAATTTGTCTCCTTTTCTTATCTCATCCCCTCACTGTACCCCTCATACAGTCAGTCGGGGACCTTGACCAGGTTCCTGATATTTTTTTGCTATCACATCACCCTTCAGTTTTCCTCCTAAAAATCTGAACTCCCTGTTTTTTGGTACATCTTTATCTACTACTTTATCTTCTTTATCTACCTTAATTGTCCATCCATTCACCTGTCCTTTCATTCTTCCTTATGCACTTTTCAATCAGCCTGTGCACCCTTCGGCAGGATGGGATCCAGCCTGAGATTGGAGTATAAAGGTAGGGGAGAGATCCACAAAGATAGCTGCCCAGACCGGGCAGCAACGCTACTGGGAACTTGCGGGGTTAACTGGGAATTCTCTGTTCTGCCCCATACTATCCCAGGCTGATGAAGAACAAGCACCATTCCAGCCTTTCCTGAGGCCATTAGATGGTCTTTATCACTTTCCCATGCCTTGAGATCCCTTGAGGGCCCCTCCTTACCCACCCAACCACATCTGGCTAGCTGCCTGCCACCTTTACTGTAATTTCCCTGTAACTCTCACATCTACCTCCACGATGCCCAGGGTCCCCGTCACCAGATACTTGACTGGACCCAGTGCTGAGCTTCAGTCCATGTGTCCCTTTCCCTAGCCCCCCGCCCCAGTTCAGGGTCAGTGTTATGGTCACTGCTGTAGTGGGTGGGATCAGCCCCTTGGTGGGTGAGGTTACCCCTTGTTCTGGTTGATACATTGTGTCAACTTGAGAAGTTTAGCAGTTTAACTGACTCAGCAGAGTCAGGGTCCTTACTTTGTAAATGTATCCTCATGCTGTGCAAGAGGAGGGTAATTAGATTTTGTGAGTGCTACACCTGCCCTGGGAGTGGGGGTTGCTATGTACAATATAAGGGAGAAAAAGAACCTTTCTCTTCCCCACTTTTGCTCTAGCTACTTTTGCTGGCTGCTGCCTTGAAGTGTTGTCCCTGTGCCATGACACCCTGCCTTGGAGCCAGCTGATTATGGACTGAAACCTCCACAAACAGTGAGCTAAATAAACCTTTCCTTCCTTCATTTTGGGTGTCAGATATTTTGTCCCAGCAATAAGAGAAAAGTAACTAAGACATCCCTAGATAGTTAGGCATAATTTTCCCCCGGTCATGCTCCAGGTAGACATTCCTTGTGTTTATCTGCTGCAGGAGAATGGGTTTGGGCAGGCGAGGGCTTTTCAAAATCCTGCTCAAGGAGGGCAAAGCTGAGATGGAGACAGTACGAGCTGCAGAGCAGCCCTCCCTCCACAGACTACCTTGCCCTATTATCTTGGCAGCAGGCCATTTTCCAGACCTAGATATGCTTTTAAAAAGCAGATAAGGTCAGGGGCCAAAGAGGCAAAGACATAGAGGTCAGTACAAGTTCATTTGTCCCCAAAGAGAACCACTTGAAGGGCTAGTAAACCACAATTCATAGAGTCACCAGGCTGGGGACCATATAAGGCCATTTAGTATCATCAAGTAAAATGTAAACAAAAATTGTAAAGGTAAAGGGTGAAATAAATCTATAGGCTTAATTTTCCCGATTAAAAAGCCCAAACAGTCTCATTTTTAAATTCTCTCATGTTCCCTCAGTTTTATCATGTTTTAAAATGATGAAACACAGGAATATGCAAGTATATGCAGCCTGCCTAACAGCCAAAGCAATGTCAAGAACTCTGTATTCTCAGCAATGACCCCAACGAGCCTTTTAGTTTCCTTTCAGCACCACCAGCCTCTCCTCTCCAGTCCCTCTATAATGCACCAAAACCATGCAAAAGAGGTTTTCAGTACACTGTTATCCTTTTCTGAAAGCCCAGTATCGGGACAATGCTGTCAATTTATTTCAAACCCCAGCCTTACCATGGGGTCACGGGCAAATTTTCAATCTGAACCTGAGCTCACAACCTGAGTCACATTAAAAAGGTGTGTGTGGGGATTAACAGCTTCTTCTGTTATGATTAGACTCCTAACACTCCCCCTCTCATCATTTCCTTACAATTTGCTCAAGAAATGATTGAAGATTAAGGAAATGGATATGTTAATACCCCTCTTTGTACACTACAGAATGTATAAATATACTGAAAGTTCATTGTACCCCATAAATATATGCTAATTTAAAAAAAAAAACTCCATCTGGAGGCCTAGCTTAACCACCCCAGGTGACACTAAAGCATTAGTGACTTAACATCTTTTTTTTTTTTGGTACCAGGATTAAACCCGGGGCCTTCACATTGATCTATATCCCCTGTTATTTATTTTGCATTTCCTTATTAGGACAGGTCTTCATTAAAAAACAAAAACACTGGCTGGGGCTTTAGCTCAGCGGCAGAAGCACCTCCCTGGTACTGATTTAAAAAAAAAAAAAAAAAAAACATTGACACAGTCCTTGTAACTGAGCTATTCTCTCAACATATAATGAGACTGACTAGCACAGTGGCTAGAGTGGAGTTTTTGGTTCTGCTAAGGTACATTTCAAGACCTTTTGCCCAAAGCTGGTTCTGCATTTACTATTGACACAAACCTGGTTTTACAGTTTAAAAGTTCAGTTAAACAATATGAAATCTCAGCAAATAATATGAAATCTCAGCAGACCTTGGCTCTCAGTGTGCAGAGACCCTCACATCAAAGCCTTCATTCCCTTTTCCTTCTTCTCAGGTCCCCACACACATGGTTAACATAAATGAGGGCTTCCTGTGTGCTCAGCAACCCACCAAAATTTGTAGAGCATTGTCTTCTGAATGGCCTCTTAGACTAAACTTCCTTGGTCAGATAAACGGGGTAAAACAAAAGTTGGCCCAACCTAGTCTCCTAAGGGCTAGAAAAATTAGTATTCAAACCAAAGAAAATCAATTTCATTTCATCTCTTTTATTTACAAGTTTTAAATATCTCTAACAGAAAATCAGTATCAATTAAGAACACTGGTATACATTTTAAAATACAACTGCCAGTAATTATTAAAGAACACAGTTAATAATTATTCCAAGAAAATGCTTGTTAAGTATTTTCCAGAAGGCAAGTTAGCAAGTGCCCCAGAAGGCAAGGACAGAGCCCTGGTTGGCTCAGGGTCAGTTATGCAGCAGCCCAAACACACATTCCCCTTAGGTCATGCGTGTGGCAGCTTGCGTCACTAGCTCTGACACCAGCTTGGATCTCCAGCTCCAAAGGTACTCACTGCATTTTGTACTACAAGAGTCACATTTCAGAGACAAATGAACCACTTTACAATGACACTCGGATGGCTCAGTTAGAGGATATTCTGGTCAACCTGGGAAGTTAAGGTTTTCCCAAAGCTGTCAAATGAAGACAGGTCTGACAGACAAGAGTTAAGCCAGACTCATTCTAAATATATTTTTATTTCTGTATATACTTTGCTCCACATAATTACATTCTTATTTAACAAGCTCTCAAGTTGTTTATATTTCACTTGTCTTTAAAAGATCCCAGGGTTGGGGATTTAGCTCAGTGGCACAAGTGCCTGCCTGGCAAGTGAGGTTTTGAGTTTGATCACCAGTACCATGTAATATATATATATAAAAGACCCCAACTCGATTATACCACAATCAAAATTTACCCATGTGCCTAATACTAGAGATCTTTTAGGCCATGTGTACTGGGAAAAATGTTTCCATATTGACATAGTTCAAACTTATGTTTTAATTATAATAAATTAGCTTTTATGTTACAAACATCTCCAAAAGCTGAAACTCAGTAACTTGATAACAATTTGAAATTAGACTACCAGAGCTGTATTATTTACACATAAAACAAAATCTAAACAATGCCATTATTGTTTCTTACCTAAAATGATAAATACCTAATTTTAAGCATCAAATCACACTTACTTCAAAAGCCATGTGTACTATATTAAATGGCCAATCTCATTTTAAAAACTCAATTTAAGAAGTCTTAAAGTTGAAATCACTATACAAAAGTAATGGCGAACGCTTTGGAAGATCTGACAAAGACTACTAAGTTTCTTTACAATTGCAGTGTCCTAAGCAGCGGCCTGTGTGCTTCAGGAAGGCCACTAACAAGAACCATGATCTCAGAAAGACAGCTGGAATTTAACCAGAAGGCGATGGTCCCTGGGGCATTCAAGGGAGAAGCTGAGAGTCCATGCAGGAGAAAAGGCCGACAACAAACAAGCCTTTCTTCTTTCTCAACATACCAACTAGAAAGCAGTAGGATCTATTCAGCTGAGAAAAAACACAGATATGCTTGCAGACATAGGCGGAAAGACTGTCTCTCAGTTGCTACACAAGTTACTGAATTTTACACATTTATGACCCATGCCAGGCTCTAAGCGTACTCCAGTGTTTAGCTGGCATGAAAAACAACAGAAAATGTCAGTCAAATTGAGTCCCTCAGTTTCAGCAGCAAACTTTCACGCTAAACTCTTAAGAGAATGATAATGATTCACATTCTGAGTTAAAGTCTAAGAGATCAGAAGGAATAGTAATGATTTCAGAATAAATGGACCACAGTTTATTTAAAGCACCCAAGAGTTTGGTGTTTCTGCTTTTTTCTTTTGGTGGTGGTGGTGGGGGTCTTGCTAGGTAGCCCAGGCTGGCCTTGAACTTGAAATCTATCTGCCTCACTCTCAATGCCAGAGTGCTGGGCGTATAGGCCTGTGCCACCACACCCAGCTCTAAAAGAGAAACTTCTTAAATGAAGTCACACCATTAAACTGGTAAACCAGAAAACGTACAAAGAAACCTTCCCAAGATGGACATATTCCAACCCTTAACCGAATTTCATCTGGGACAGATAAAAATAAGGAAGCCAAACATAGTTATTTGCTTTTTTTTTTTTTTTTTTTTAATCAATGGATGGTATGAGGAGGGGAGAGGAAATCAACTAATGTAGTTCAATTATACTGAAGAATTATGCTTGATTTGGCACAGGAAACTAATCTGTGGGCTTGGGGATTATATTTGTGTTTCCATTTCGGGACACATTTCCTGTTGTTCAAATGCCATAGCCACTCATGAGAAAATTCATCCCCCAAAAGGATCCATGCAGGTTAATTTTTAAGAACAAAAATTCTGCAGTCCATGGAAACCATTACAAGTTATGTTTTTATTTTCGCCTCAGCTCTCATACCTAATATGGTCTAATTCCTAAGGCGTAGCAATGGCAATTTATCAGTCACAGGCAGATGTCCCATCTGATAGGTCTCACTCCTCCCATTTCCCCACTGCCTCTCAGGATGCAGATGGAATCTTGGCTACTGGCTGTTCTCCTTAGACCCCACAAGTTTTCACCTCTCCAGGTTCAGGCTAAATCTTAAATCTACAAACCCCTGAAGAAGTGTGTTCTGCCTAAATGTCCGTCAAAACTACATGTGATCACACTGTTCCCTTTCATCCAGCCATCTGAAGGAGTAGGTACAAGACTTGGATAAACCATCACAATGTTAGCAACTTCAGGTTAAGGTTGCATAGGATAGCAGAGGAAAAAATGTTGTGTCAGAAGGAAATTAAAGAATGTTTGAGAGATATAATCAGAAAGGTTTTTTAAAAAACAGTGCATAATCCCCCAGGGGCTAAGATGGGAGTGTCGAGTGGAGTATTTTACTAAATCAAGAAAGGCCAAGATTTAAGAATTAGACATAAATTTCCCCCTGGAACGGCTCAAAGTTTTATGGGACTCAGTGGAGAGGCCAAATGCTGCACAAGTAAAAATTCGCTGGTCCACAGGCCGAGACCTTCTCACTCTCACTTGAAAATCAAGTTGTCCCAAACATGCTTATTGGAGGCCTGTTTACAAATTTAAGGGTTCAGTATGTTTGGTCTTTGTGATGCTAGGACTCAAACTCAGGATCTTACACAGGCTAGGAAAGCCCTCTACCACTGAGCTACATCTCCAGCCCAAAGATTTAGTTCTTTTTTTTTTGGTCTTTCTGAGAAAGGGTCTCAATATGCAGTTCAGGCTAGCTTTGCGCTCACTTTGTAGCCCAGGCTGGTCTTGAACTAACAATCATCCTCCTGCCTCAGCCTCCCAAGTGCTGGGATTACAGGCATGTACCACCACACCTGGCTTTTTTAGTTTAGTTTTTTTGGTCAGGATTCAGTTTTTAAATAAACTAAAACAGACCTAGAATGCACTGTTACAGAATGTCTTCACAAGAATATTCACAAAAATGTTGCATAGAAAAGTGTCCTACAGTATGCTTTGTAAACCTAGGCCTTGGTAACTTAAAAAACAAAGCAAAATAAAACTATAATCTAGAAATGCATGATTGTGAATTCAGAATTATCAGATTTTTGCAGTTGAATTTCAGAAGATCCTGAAGTTTTTTTTTTGTTGTTGTTTTTTGTTTTTGTCTTTTTCCTTTTTATCAGTACCAGGGATCAAACTCACAACTGCCTGCTTGCAAGGCAGGCGCTTATGCCGCTGAGCTAAATCCCCAGCCCCTGATCCTGAAGTTTTTATTCTTAGGATCATTATTAAATTTATACTTTAAAAAAAACTTTAGGTGACAGAGTTCAAGTGTTTTTATAAAGGACTTAGGCTATATGAGCACAAGCCAGTTCAACAGACTTTATATTCTCTTTTCTGCACTAAAAAGTTGACCAATACACACAGGGACATAAAATCACTGTTACTGCTTTTAAACCTAGGCTGTTTTGTTTTCTTCTCCTGTTGGTCAATTATTCAGCAAGTTGTATTTATCTGCCTGTCCCTTTAACAGCCAGGTTTCATAGCTCATTCTTAATCCCCCCTGTAATATGCATCAATTATCTCTGAGTTAAAATACACTACAGTGACAGTGATATCATCCCTGTACATCCTTGCCAAGTCCTCTGGTAATGTCAGCATTGCTGCCAGCCGCTCTGGCTCCATTTCCCCATATTCATTGCTTCCAATAGCATGTCTGATCAGATGTGTAGCTGCATTTTGGTCAGCTGCATAGAGCCCACTAGCTTTTCTCTGCAGCAGTAGACTCTGCATGAGTCCCAGCTTGGTAGGTCTTTGGGCCAGATCTGGCTTATGGCGACCTGCCTCAGACAGATACCCCACTACCAGCCTCACCACATCTTCATTCCCTAACATGTCCCACAGTCCATCTGAAGCTAGCACAAGGAACTTATCCTGGGGCCTCAGCCTGTGGTACGTAATCTCAGGCTTGGCAGTTAGGTAGGGTGGGGTATAGTAGTGTGAGGGGGTGAATTGGTAAATGTTGAGGGCCTCAGTATCAAAGCCCCTCTCTAGGACACTGCGCTGCAACTCTTTACTCCACTTCAGCTGGACATCTCCAAAGGCCCTGCAGGGCATCAGGACACCAAGCAGCCTGTCATCTATGACGATCGTCCTGTCCTCTGTCTCAGGGTGCTCCCTCTTAAGCCGGGAGAGCTCAGCCTCATTCCATGCATTGTGATCATGCGTAAGAGGTAGACAAGACCACATGCCATTGTCCCCCTGGACACCAAGGATAGCCCGGCAGTCACCAGCATTTGCCACATGCAGGTGAACTCCATTGACATGAGCCATACAAGCTGTTGCTCCAGAAAAAGCAACTTGGAGTGACAGATTCTTTGTTGCCTCATCTTCCAAGGGAGCCTGGACTTCCAGTGAGATATCAGAATCCAGTCTCTGGAAAGAGTACATCAATGCTTCCTCAATGCTTAGTCCCATTTCCATGTGTAGGTCAAGCAATTCCTGCCAATAAACACGGAGGTGTTCAAGATGCACTGAAGTGATATCCTTGTAGACACTGTCGCCTGGATGCTTGAGCCACTGCAGGATAGGCAACATGGGCTTCATATTTTCCATCGCTCCCTCCATCTGCTCCAGGGTCTGGTGGGACATCAGGGACACTGCCACGTAGTAGAAGAGCCTCTCACTCACTGCTTGTGCACATGCATGACCACCATGTCCATCAAAGACACCAAACATCAGTCCACTGGTCTGTAGGCAGGCAGCTACTCCTCGACGGTCTTCCACTGGGGAATTTGCAGCCAACTGGTTACTTTCAAACCGCAACACAGAATTTGGGACTCTACTGTCCAAGTCAAGAATCTTGTGGGCTGACTCACCAGCCCGAAGCACTTCATTTACCTGCTCGGGGCTGAGTTGCAGGTGGAAATCCTCTTCCTCTGTTGATGTGTGTCTGTAGACTTTCTGCAGTGTGAAGGTACCACATGGTGAACTGTTTTGTAGGGGAGATGATGCCCAGGAAAGGCGCCTCCATATGGATAGATTCCTTTTTGAGACACACCTTGAGTATAGGCGTCTGCCACCTTGTAAGGTGGCAATGCAGCTCCTTGCAGAAGTTGAGATCCAGTAGGACATAGTACTTGACATTCTGAAACTATGCCGGCAAATAAGGATTTGTTAAACATGAAAATTAAAGAGTTTAAGAAAGTTTCAAAATTCAACTTTTCAAAAATACTGATTTCTGAAACATTTGATAATATCTGAAAGTGATTTAAACAACTTAGAAAAATTGAGTAAACTTAAAATGTAAGTATTCTTATTTCTCACTATATCACATAAACACATTCCAGAAATTTTGGAAAGCTATGTTTATACATTCTGCTCTTACACTGAGGGCTTTATGCTTTTCATCTAGCTAACCCAGGACCCCATTTTCCTCTCTTCCCTGAGTCTTTTCTCTACTTTTTATCCCATGTTCACAATCTCTCCACGAAACTACAAGTATTCACCTAATTTCCCACTAGCCCACAAGCTCTGTGAATTTATGAACTATAGCTTCCTTACCAATAGCTCTTCAGTATCCACCCCTGTACCTGGCAAACAACAGGGCTAACTCTGAAAAAGTTTTCTAGTACTTTCGCTATCATCTCTTAGAAGTTTTCTTTTGACAAAGAAAGATTGTCCTGTTATAATTAGCTCCTGGGCTGGAGACATAGCTCAGCAGTACAATGTCTGTCAGGCAAACACTGGCTAAATGTGACGTTTTCAGATGTCCAGTGGTATACTAGGTGTGACACTAGCTGTTTATACTGCTGCTCCAGTCTAAACTCCAGCTATGCACTGGTAGGTTGAGCATAATACCAGTCTTATAAGGTTTTGTGAGAATTTAATATGATCTTTCTGCTTAAAAAAAAAGTCATTACATATACATCCATTCTCTACATATTTTTATATTGTACCTACAACTCTGAATCTGGCTTTCTTGGTTTTTAATGATAAATACATTTATAGGATAGGTAATATATCATTTTCTGCATAAACAATCACAATTACTTATCTATTCTTTATTGCTGGGATTTAAAGGTCCTTTCCCCTAACCAGCTCTTTATAAGACACCAAACTGTATGGCCTTATGCAACAACCTTTTCCTTGCTTAGATTTTAACTATACATTTCCCAAATGCAAAATCTGTAGGTCAAAGGCTGTAGATCCATATTGCCAATCTGATTCACGAAAGCTTTACAGCTGCTTCCACAATGGCATGAAAGAAACAGTTTTCTAGTATTTTCGCTATCATCTCTTAGAAGTTTTCTTTTGACAAAAAAAGAGAAAGATTGTCCGGTTATAATTAGCTTCTGGGCTGGGGATATAGCTCAGCAGCACAATGTCTGTGTGGCAAGCGTGAGGTCCTGAGTTCAAATTCCGATACAAAAATAAAAATTAAGTAAATATAATTAGTTCTTCTGGGGCTGGGGATTTAGCTCAGCGGCATAAGCGCCTGCCTTGCAAGCAGACAGTCGTGAGTTCGATCCCTGATACCGATTAAAAAAAATTATAATAACTAGTTCTTCTCCGGTATCTGGGACGTGGAGCGTTTCCAACAAGTTTTGAGTTATCAATCCTATCCTCCCCTAATTTGCCTACTGAGATCGCGAGAGCTCCCAGCACCAAGGACAGTCCTTCCTCTGCTCTCCGCACAGAACTTGGGGTAGGAAAGGTCAGTTAGGGACGCCGAGGGTTTAGACACTGGAGTGCCAGTAGCACTACTCGAGGCCGTCCGCCTCAACCCGGACCCCAAACACCACAAATAGGTCTGAATTTCAAGTCTCGGACTACGGCCTCCAAAATAAGCGCTTGAGCTCCAAGGTCTGCTAAATCCGACTTCCCCCAGACCCCGACGCTGCCGCGTCCCAGCCAGGTGTTCCGGCCACCGGCTTGGAGTCTCTGAGCCGTTGCCTCCCAGGTCGAAAAAAACGCGAATCTTGTAGGGGCGCCGAACTCAGGGCGTCTTCAAAGATAAAGCAACTACTACGCGGACTCCCTGGTATTCAGCGGCGTCCTCCGCCGGTCCTCGGGCCCACGTGGCGCGTGCGAGCCAGTGAGGTGACAGAGGCCACGGGTCCCGCGTGTCCCGCCCTCTCGCGTCACTTCATCTCCGCCCCATCACCTGAGCTCCCGCCGCGCGTGGGGGACAGTCAAGTGCTGGCGAGGCCAGGCAGAGAAACTGGCATCCACATCCGTGACTCGTTTCTTTCCTTACCTCGGATCCTCGCCTTCTTCTTACCAGCTTGCACCGCCGCTAACAGTTCTGATCCTTAGTTTCGCGGCTGCGCACCAGCCGCAACCACCAGCGTCTCACTTCCCCTTGCAAGGCCCCTTTTCGTGAACAAGCTCCAGAGGAAAGCGTCCTCCTATCATCGCTGATTGGCTCTTACGCGGAGGCAGGCCCTTGACCGACCTGGGTATTGACCAATGAATGAAAAGAAAAGTAGGACGCAAGAGGCGGGACTGGTCGGAGCCAACACCCCCTCTATCCGAACAGCCTAGTTTCTAGTGAATGCAGCTGCGCCGGACCAGGCAATCACATGGCTAATTGACTGCCACACCTTACGCATCCCTCAACGAAAGCCACTCTAGTTCCTTACTGTGACTGTATTACGTCTTGCTGTCCCTTTGTGGCGTCAACGACTGCAGATCCCTTTGCTAAATGCTACACCCTTTGAGGACCCAAGAATAACTTTGAACTAATTTTCACGCCAAACCTGCTCTTCTTCCTCCCCTTTCCGTTACGCAGAATGGCCTCAACATCTGACCAAAGATCCACATCAAAAGACTTAGAGCCTGGAAGTGGAGCTGCAAGCGCGCAGGCCGAGACGCTGCGGACCCGCGACTGAGCATCCGAGGCGGTGAATAATAGCTCTTCAAGTCTGCAATAAAAAATGGCGTCCAATAAAACTACATTGCAAAAAATGGGAAAGAAACAAAATGGAAAAAGTAAAAAAGTTGAGGAAGCAGAGCCTGAAGAATTTGTGGTAGAAAAAGTACTGGACCGCCGTGTAGTGAATGGGAAGGTGGAATATTTTCTGAAGTGGAAGGGATTTACAGATGCTGACAATACATGGGAACCTGAAGAAAATTTAGATTGTCCAGAGTTAATTGAAGCATTTCTTAATTCTCAAAAAGCTGGTAAAGAAAAAGATGGTACAAAACGAAAATCTTTATCTGACAGTGAATCTGATGATAGCAAATCAAAGAAAAAAAGAGATGCTGCTGACAAACCTAGAGGCTTTGCTAGAGGTCTTGATCCTGAACGAATAATTGGTGCCACAGACAGTAGTGGGGAATTGATGTTTCTCATGAAATGGAAAGATTCAGATGAGGCTGACTTGGTGCTGGCAAAAGAGGCAAATATGAAATGTCCTCAAATTGTAATCGCTTTTTATGAAGAGAGACTAACCTGGCATTCTTGTCCAGAAGATGAAGCTCAATAACTTACATCATTTATATATATTTATATATATATAAAATATGGGTAATAATGGGTCTTGGTTTTGATTTACTGGTGTGAAAAAAACAGCATTCTAATGAAAATCAAGTTGAATATGTTAATTTTGAAAATAGTATTTGGGAGAGTTGTTGGGTTTTGTTTGTTTTGCATCTATAGCACTGGTTTCTTTGAACAAATAAAAGCTTTTGTAGTTGCTTTCTTTGTCAGTAAAGAGCTAGCCTGATACATTTCCTCTGCTTTTCTAAATGTTAGGGGAATTGTCCATAGTCAAACTAAATCAGAACTCATGTTATAACTTACATGCTTATGGACCATTCTTGAGTTTTTTGTTTGTGTGTGTATAAATAAAATACTTATATAAATGGTTTTTGTTTTGTTTTTAAGCAGTCACCAAAAAAAAAAAATTTCTGGGTGATAAGTTCATGTTTGGGATGCCCTCATGCTAGCAATTTAAGAAATCATTAAAAAAATATTAAAAAGAAGAAATCACTTCCAGTTAAACGTTTTCCTGAAGCCATAACTTTTCAAGTTAAAGAGGTGGTTTTGTGGTTAATAGGACTGTTTAAAGTGGATATTTTCAAAACAGCATTAGCAGAATCTAGATCTGTGTCTTTAGTCAATAAAATGCTGCAGTTTACTTGCAAATTTTCTGAAAAAAAGAATTGTTCTCTCTACTAACAACTTCCCAACCCAAATAAGGTAATAAGTCAAAACCTGGTTTATTTGAATTAGCTAAGGAAGACTTGTTAAGGGAACATTAAAGATTCCTCATGACCCATTGCTTTACAACAAAAATATGTACTCAAAAGTCAGGATTTGTGGATGTCTAAAGACTTGGCCTATGGTAACCTACTGAGTGGTAAGTGTTCACAGTTTAGGACCTGCTAGAATCACTGAGTGAACAAACTTGTAATCTAAAATTACTGACCTGCATGTTTTTCTTGACCCCGACGTGCTCGTTACATGTAGGCTCAATCTTTTCAGTATTTGGGTTACTGTTTTCAGCAGAAGCCAGGAAAACAACTTTGTAGTAGTCAGAATGTTATTCTACTGTATATTGTTTACTTACTGTAAATAATGGTGAGCAGTGGTCAATAAATAGTTTTATATTCCTTTAAAAAAAAAAAAAAAAAAAAGACTTAGAGCCTGATGTGATTGTGCGTGCCTGTAATCCCAGCACGCTGGAAGACAGAAGGAGGACTACACATTCAACCGCAGTCTGGGCAATTTAGCAATTTAATGCGACCCTTTCTCAAAATTCAAAATCAAAAGGGTGGGGAGGAGCGGGAGTCTGGGGATGTAGCTCAGTGGGAAGGCCCTGAGTTCAATCCCCAGTACACATGCAGAGGCAGAGTCACCTTGATATCTCCTCTCTTGTCAGTTGTCCAACCCTATCAACTTAGCCTCCTAAATATCTGCTCAGCCATCCTATTCCTCATCCCTCACATGACATCAACTTCCATTTGGTCCTAACCAAACTTTCCTTTACAAGGCAGCCAAAACAACCCTTCAAAAACTCAATCCTGTGCTCCCTTCACCAGCACATATACTAAAAACTAAAGTTCCTGTTCTAAAGTCTTCATTGGCTCCCAGCCAATCACTTCTTTGAACTTATGATTACATTGGCCCATCACTTACAAGTACCATTGCACATTAGCAGTTAGTTGGTCAGTAAAGGCAGAGAACCAGAACATTAGATATTTCCTGCATCCCTTCTAAGATACTCCCAGCAAAGACTTGGTTAGATCTCAATCATGATTATTTTAATAGAAGTCTTCTAACTGTGTAAGTCAAATGGAATCCCTTCCTTGGAAGTGCAGAAAGATGAAATAAGCAGAAAAGGCTCCTTGGAGTCCTGAGAATGTGATCTTCTGGCAGGAAGACACAGTCTTACCTGGGGAGTCTTGCCAGCCGACCTGGACCCAAGGACACTCCGGCAGTAAAATGCTTCTTAGACCTGCCCTGATGATATTTATACTGCCATTCACCCTTCGCCCTTTCCGGAAGTTCTAAGTCAGAATTTGAAACATCTCTCTTCCTGGACATTGAGGTGACCTGTTTTAGACCCACACTAAAAATAACTCTAACCAGATGCACTGGCACAGACTGTAATTCCAGATATTTAGGAGACCGAGGCAGGAGAATCCTAAGTTTGAGGCCAATCTGGACAACACTGCAAGACCCTATTTTGAAAAAAATAAAATAAAAAGGATTAGGAGTGTAGTTCAGCAGAGGATTACTTGGCGTGCTCAAGGCTCTGAATTCAATTCCCGATATCACAAAGACAAAATAAGACAAAACAAACACCTCTTAATAAATAGATGTGAGAGAACTGGAAAGGATACTGTTTTGTTTCTGGGTTTCATTTGGGCTTTTGGTTGGTTTTGTTTTGTTTTGTTCACACCAAGAGTTCATTTGAGGTAACAGGTTAACACTGAGTTCTTCAGGACAAAGCCTACAGAGTTTAATTGCTCCATTTGTGGGCATCTGCCCAGACAATGTGACAGGCCCTGAGATGACCCTGGGGATAGGGATGCCCCCACTGTTTTCCTGAGGAAAATTACACTACTCTAATTCTGAAACCACAGATATTTTTCAAGTTACCACATACTCCCCACTTCCAAAGCACAAATGCACCCTTGAGAATAGTGTGAGCACCAGAACTTTCACTTACAAGCTATAACTAGTCCTTTGTGGTGTTGAATACTATAATCTCAGCACAGAAAGCTGAGGAAGCTCACAAGTTTGAACCCAGCCTGGGCTTCAAAATAAGTTCAAGACTACTCTGGGCTACATAGAGAGATTCTATCTACAACAAGCAAACAAACACAAACTCTCAGTAATCTAGTTATATATGATGTCCCTGTCCAAATTCTTTATCTGATCTTCCTCATTTCAAGCTCTTATAAGAAAAAAAAAAAGGCTGGGGATATAGCTCAGAGGCATAAGCACCTATATGACAAGTGCATTGTCGTGAGTTTGATCCCCAGTACAAAAACAAAGGACTTATCTTCTTTTGAGGAAGAGAAAGTACAACTCAACTAGTGGTATTAGAGAAAATATGCAAAACTGTTGAGCCTTACTCAAACAAACAAAAAAAAATGAATTAAAGTGACCTATGAATTTATTTTTTCTTGTGGTGCTAGAATCAAGAACTCATTCATGCCAGGCAAACACTCTACCACTGAGCCACATCTCCAGCCCTAGGCTACTGACATTTGTCAGTCAGTCTAGCAAAGATTAAAACATGATTGAGATATATAATGTTGGTGGGCAGCCATTCCAACTCAAATGGGTGAGAACGTAAATTGAAGCATGTCTCTCATTGACTAATTCCATAACTTTCCATTTATCCTAAAGAGGCAAAGGTATGCATTACAAATTTTCTGCAACAAACTTGTAAAATCAGGAAAAAATAAACCCTACATTTTAAAAAAGAGGTAGGAGTGTGACTGGAGTAGGGAGATGTATCTTTTGGATGATTCCGGCCAAGTCTCCTGATTCCTTAGGTACAGAGACAAGATGTTATGATTTATATCTAAATGTCCCCCCTCAAGTCTCATGAGCTCATAGGTGGGGCTTTTGGGAGGTTGTTGGACATGGAGACAAGGTGTAATACGCATCAATGAACTATCTGTTGATGAGTTTATAGCTAAATATAATGTTGAGAGGTAAATGGGAGGTTTTACTGAAGGCGAGGCCTGAGGATATGCAGGTGTCTCACTTCCTCTTCCCTTGATCTCTCTAGTCCCTCTCTAGCCGTGGGCTATTTCTCTTCAGACATGTCCTTCCACCTTGCTACCCTGCCATGGAGCCACCGGACTCGGGACTTTAAAAAGTCTACAAACTGTGAGCCAAAATAAACGTTTCTTCCCTTAATTTTCAGGTGTTGGCTACTGTGTCCCAGTGATGAGAAAAGTAACTAAGACATGAGAATTTCTAAGAGCCAGGCGTGGTGGCTCACGCCTGTAACCCCTGCACTCGGGAGGCTGAGGCAGGAGGATTGTTGCAAGTTCAAGACCAGCCTGGGCTACAAAGTGAGCTCAAGGCCAGCCTGAACTGCTAGCAAGACCCTGTCTTTTTTTTTTTTTTTTTAACTTTCAAATCCCCACTGTAAACTCTGTCTTAAAAAGACTAAAAAAAAAAAGAATTTCTATGACGTGTGGGGAAAACCAGATTTGAGGATGATCTTGTGTCAGGGAGACCTGAAATGGTAGTAGCCAGTTTCTATCAAAACTGTGACCTCTACCCTGATATCTAGGAGAATTTGCAAAAACTTTAGTTACCTTTTGCCTCACCAATAAGCAGAAGAATTTGTCTTTGCAGTGGTTTTGTTTTATGTTGTTTTGTTTTGGTGTCCTGACTCCCCAGAGCAACTGAATAAACCCAAACAGTCTTGCTGATCTCAGCACATCTACGCCCTGAGATAGTTATCATTGCACAAACCTTTTCCCAAATAAAGCGATTTAACTTCACTGGTTAGCCAACCAGGTGACTTTTCCTAGCTCGTCCCCTCTCCAATTGACCACACACAAGAGGACAAACACATGCACATTCTCACAAACAAGGCCCCTGTGGTCCTTTTCCTCAGAAGGAATGACTGCCAATCCAGGCTCTTGCGCTAGTAACAAAGCCTGGGGATTTTTGAAAAACACAAGTCCTGCCTCAGCGCCAGTACTAACATGTCCTCCACACCAGGCACAGTGGCATATGCCTGTAACCTAGCTCTCCAGAAGGTAAGGCAAGAGGACCTCCACAAGTTTGAGGACAGCCTGGACTGGATAGTGAGTTCAAGGATAGTCTGAACTACATGTCAAGAGTCTGTTTCAAAAAAACAAGCAAATAAACTGTCCTCCAAAGGCTGTGTGATGGGGCTTGGTTGCCGGCTGATGAGCTTTCCAAAGGTGATTAGATTAGTAGATTAATCCATAATTTGATGGGTGGTAGTGGAAACTCAGGAGGTGAGACCTAGTTGAAGGGACTGGGTCATGCCTTTCCTCTTGGCCTTTCTTTCTCTGCTTTTTTTTTCAGGAGAGGAATCAACCTCAAGGACTCTTTTGCTGAGCTGGCTTTCTTTCTTTCTTTCTTTCTTTCTTTCTTTCTTTCTTTCTTTTTTTCTTTCTTTCAAGTAGGATCTCACTAACTTTCCCAGGCAGGACTTGAACCTGTGATCGTCCTCCCTCAGTCTCCCAAGATGCTGGAATTATCTGTTTCTTGACTGTCACATGGCAAGCAGCTTTCCTTTACCTTTCTTCTGTGCCGCTTCTGCATCTACTCAGGCCTGGGAGCAATGGAACTAGCTGACTGGGACAGAAACCTTTGTGACCAGAAATCCAAATCCAAATCTTTCCTTCTTTAAGATATT